ATTATTTTTTAAAATTAAAATTTAAATTTTATAATTTAAAAAATTTTAAAAATTTTTAAATAAAAGTCTAGCCTGTCGGGTCTTTTTTTTTTTTTTTATGTTATGAGAACCAAAAAATTAATTTTATATGGCCTAATAAAATAACCTTAAATATTAAATTATATAAATTACGTTCACGCTTTTAAATACAGTATAATTTATATAAACCAAATTTTAATTACGTAAAAGCCAGGCGGGTTGAAATAAAGTATATTAGATAATATTGCAGAAATATCAGGTCCTGATTTTTTTTTGATTTTTGGCGCATCATGACAAAAACAAAGACATATCGGGAGCTGATAGAGTTATCAGATCTTGATGGAGCAATCATGAATATGATAGCTCTATCAGCTCCTTATATGTTTGTTGTCACGATGGGCGCCAAAAATCAAAATAAATCAGAACCTGATATTTTTATAATACATTATTCTCTATTATACTTTATTTCAATTTGTGTTATTTTACATTATACGGTAGTTATTTTATATATAAATTATTCTGGTTATAAAGAATTCTTTAAAAATAAGTATATACTAACCAAAAACATTTTTATATTAATTATATAGGACTAAAATTTTTAAAAAATATCATAGCCAGATATCGTAACCAAAGTAATATTATGTCACACTTTGTGTCATGCGCAACCAACCCTAGCACCAAGAGTGAAAAATCAAAACGATGACAGAATTAATGGTACAAAAGGGACATTAATAATGTCACTAAAAAAGAAATAAAAACATCAACTGTTATGATTTTTCAACGGTAATTGTGGCCATAAATAATGTGAATTTAGCTTTAGAACATCTGGAAAAATATAATGAAAGTATTACACCAAATTATTACTAATTAAATAAAAATGTATAATAATATTTACAGTAGGATATAGTTGACAATTCGACGGAAGCGACAGGTTGTACACTAATCGGTTTTGTGTTTTTTATAACTCAAATAATAAGCAATGATAAATCCAACAGCTATAGCTATATACATAATAATTCCAACATATCTAAAAATGACTATTTGTTTGTTAACTAATTCGTATAAATTTATTTAAAGGAGGTATGATTAGGCATATGTCAAATTAACAAAAAAGAAATATTGAAAAATAGGCATACTTGAGTATGGAATATATGAAGTAGTCCATTTATAAGAGTTTGTATCAAACAGATAGTATTCATCAGAATCTAAATAAATTATATTATTAGCTTTATTAACTTATATTATGATATTAGAATATAAAAGATAATCACCTAATAATATAATCATATAATTTTCAACAATAGCAGCAGTTGTGAGGGCGGTGCATTATCTGGTGGGATTGACGGCACTATCCATTGATAGGGAGTAGTTTGGACATTAAGTACTATAAGCTCTGGTTTGGCTATTGAATCATTTTCCCCCATACCACTGTATATGATAATATTTCCGTCAGGAGCTTTGTATTACAATACAGAAGAACAATTAACTATTCATTATATATGTATTTAATTGAAGCTTTTAATCCAAATAAATTACCTAGAACGGCAGTATGCCCAAAACGTGAATCAACGTAACCACCAAAGATGGACTGAATAAAAAATATTTGGATTGAAATTTAAATATCAAACTTGTATATATTAAATATTCTGAACATGAACTTACATGAGATGTCCATGTTCCTGATTTAATTTCATATGTCCAAATCTATCATAAAATATATTTTAATTTCTAGTGATGTATAAAATAATTTTTTTAACAACTTTTACCTGACTAATGTTAACAATATTAATAGAATCATTTGTCATTTCTAATCCACCAATAAAAACAATAGTACTGTTCGCAATTAGTGTTGCAGTGTGAGAAGCTCTTGGTAGAATATTAGAGGATGAATTAAGTTTAACCCAAGACAAGTTGATTGAATCTAATACGATAAAATCGTTAAAGAGCATTGTATAGTTATTCGTTACTCCACCAAAAATATAGATCCACCCTGAATCAGGATCAAAAATGGAAGAAGCTAGTCTACGCTTTGATGGTTGAATTCCTGAAATAGCGGGAACTGTCCATTCTTGATTAATTGTATCAAAAATATAGACAGAAGAATTGCTTAAGCCATAAATATCAAAATCCAAATCCAATAATTTCAACATTTCGCCACCGATTAAAAATATTTTGGATTTATCTAATCCTCCAACAGATGCGGTTCCCCAAGCACTGTAAACAGGAATCAACGGGAGATCTTCATATGATGGGTTCAAAGTATCTAAGGTAATTGAAAAGTCTAGGTAAAAAACATCTTTATAAATATGAGGTCCTATCATGCCGCCCATTATGTAGAGTTTAGAATCTACAAGAGCATTCGTAAAGGCGTAAAGACCATCAGCTATAGCATAACAATAAATAATAAGAATAAAAAGTATTATGACTTTTCGTCCTAGATACATTAGAAGTAGTCGTATATAGTTACAAAAAATGAGGACAAGAATAAAAGAAACTCAATTTTATATATAATGCTTTGATTAATTATTTGAGAACTATTAGTTTCATTATTTCATACTATTTAGCCTATTTTATCATAAATTTGAACTAACTATACGCATTGGCCCATTTTTGGAATTGTACTAAAAGATATGTAATTGGACATTCTTTAACGTTGAATAACTTTTGATGCACTGGTCCATTTTGGTAGTTGGTTCATCCAAAATGGACCAGTACATCAAAGTTATTCAATGTTAAAGAAATGTCAAATTACATATTTTTTATTAGTACAATTCCAAAAATGGGCCCATACGAATAATTAAAGGGACACTTGAACCCGCATCACGTGAAATCACGCAACTACGTTTACTAGCATAGCACTAAAAAGATTAGCCTAAACTAACCTATAACCTAACCCTAACACTAACCCTAACGTAGGCCGAACATCTAATCATGTGATGTGATTATCATAAGATATCACTGGGTTCTAATTAAATTTTAAATTTAGAAAAGAACAAATGTTCCAAATATTGCTGATCATTTTACGTAGCGTCCATTGTCAGAGTGTTTATGGTTTAAACAATAAAGTAATTTTCCTGTTACAGATATATTCCCAAAATTTGAATTAGATGATAATAGGCAAGCTTTTTCTTAAAAGAACTAAGTGATGATATATTTATTATTTACATCTTTATTTAAATACCATTTTAACGTTCATTTTAATAATTAGTTTTTATTAGAGTTACTTATGTTAATCCTCAATTTATGTCGAATAAAAATATTACAGAAACTTTACCAAGCTCGTATGGTATTTACCACGGCATTTCCACATAATTATTAGATTATAACGCATGTTGTATCTCGTAAATTTTACCGTCAGTTGTAGCTATTTCTAATTTTTTTAAATTAAGATCGATACTAAATGAGTTTATCTGAATCTGTTAAACACTAAACATTCACTCGTTGAATTTAAATAAAGATAGTTATTTGATAGTTCGATGTAAAATCATTCTTTATAAAAATTTTTTGCAACATTCTTTGCTTACAACATTACAACATAAAATTTTAGAAAATAATGAATAAAATAAATAAAATAATTAAAAGAATCTGGATATGGATGAAAATTAGTTTCGTAATTATATATAAACTTGCTATTCCTGTATCACCCTCATATTTCTTTCCATTTCTTTTTTTATATTCTGGTTTATATGAATCTTTATCTGTGACATATATTTTTTTCTGTTATTCTTATGTGATTTTATTTCCTTACGGAAAATCAATTACCAAACTCTCTACATTTGAATCTAAATTAAAAGATAATAATGGTTAATTAATGCTAATTTTGCTTAAAC